TTATTTATTTTTGAGAGAGAGAGAGACAGAGCATGAACGGGGAGGGTCAGAGAGAGAGGGAGACACAGAATCTGAAACAGGCTCCAGGCTCTGAGCTGTCAGCACAGAGCCCGACGCGGGGCTCGAACTCCGGGACCATGAGATCGTGACCTGAGCCGAAGTCGGACGCTCAACTGACCGAGCCACCCAGGCGCCCCTGAAATACAACTTTTTAAAAATGCACGTTCTCGGGTCTCACCCCAGCTCTACAGAATCAGGACCTGTGAAGGTAGGGCCCAATATTCAGCATTTTAATAAATTCTCCATGTTATTCTGATGCACACTGAAGTACAAGAACCTCCAGCATGAAGGAACAAGCATGGCATTTGGAACCTAGCTCTGTGTCTTACTATGTAAACTGAAATCAGCTACATAAACTCTGGCAATCAGTTCCATCTACAAACTGGTTTCATTAGAATGAGAATGTCTTACCGGTTGTACCTCCAAAATATATCCAAGTCTCTCTATTCATTTTCCTTCCGTGAGTCCTAGCCACTATCATCTCTCACCTAGATGGCTCCCTGATCGGTTGTCCTGTGTTTGCTCTGGGTTCCGCATCATCTATTCACCACAAAGCAACCACCGTGGTCTTCGAAAGACAAGAATCATATTAAATCACTCTCCTGGTTAAAATCTTCCAGTGGTTTCCCATTATACTCAAAATAAAACCCAAACTCTGTGCCTGGCTCATAAAGTACCGCATAATCTGTTGCTTTCCTATGCTTCAACAATTTTGTCCTTTCTCACCAAGATTTTGTTATATTGATTTCCTTGATGCAGCTCAAACATGTCAAGTAGTTTCCTGTCTCAGGGCCTTTGCAACTCCTTCCCTTCTGCCTGGAATGTACTTCCCTCAAAACTCTGGCTCTTTCTCATCCTTCAAGTTTTGGCTCAGAGTTCAAATCTCAGACTAGTCTTCCCTAATGACCTTATCTTATGAAGCCTTTCTTCTGCTCCTGGTTTTTTTTTCTATCACATCCTAATTACTTTCATTATAATTCTTATCACAATATGAAATTTTATAGTTCATTTATTTGCTTAATAGTATATTGTCTTTCAACTTCTAGTAAAATATAAGCTCTTTGAGGGCAGGGATTTGTCCTGCAGCCCTAGTGCCTAACATGTTCTGCCATATGTGTAGGGGCCTCTTTTGGGCAACAGCCTTGAGCAATGGAAACTTGATTGAGGCAAAAGGGCCCACAGTGACCACTGAGCTGAATACAAACAGGTTCATTAAGCAAATCACCTCGAAAGAGCCATAGGCCCTAACTGACCATTTACAACCAGTCACAGTTCCTAAGATTACTGAAAAAGGGAAAGCTGTATACATTCCCCATACTTCCCCACTCTGCCCTATGACTATAGCCCCTCACCACCGCCTTGTGGCAGACAGTCTTTCTTTTGATGCCCTTCCCTCTGCTCCCTTGGAGTGTATGCAATAGGCTTGTATCTCCTTTGTTCTGCCTTCAGTGAATTCTTTCACTGCCTCATGCTGCCGGCCCCTACATCATCCAACGGGATGCACCACAATATGTAGGCAATGAAAAAAGATATTTGTTGAACTAATAATATATCAAAATCACTTTGGAAAATTTCTACCTTTAGCAACAAAGACCCATTGTATTTTACTCTTGAAAATTACAGACCTATTTGTAGAAAGTTTTTTACGTTGAAAAATGTCTGAAACAGCAGATTAAAACTAGACCACACTGCATAATGTACAAACTTATCCTGTCACTATATTGTATACCTGAAACTAATGTAACATTGTGTGTCAACCATAAAACACAAAACAAAGACTAGACCACACTGGTCAAGTATAAGTCATGGCAAAAATAAAATGGGAAGATAGGGTAGGGTAAAATGTTTTATATATGAACTAGTTTTAATTCCTCACACATATCAAACAGGAGTAGCACATGCAAATCTAAACACACAGGTAGAGTGGGAGCACACCAACCAGGAACAGGGGCTTCTATCATGCTGACACAGGGAAGATGGGAGCAATGGAATCAAGCCCAGCAGGCCTTGGGAGCAAGGTTAAATGGTTTCAGGGCAAGATGAGGAAAACTGCCATTTTGCTAAGCCAGATCAGAAGTTAGCATACGCATGGTTGATGTGGAGACTTTGATGAACGGAACGAGATAACTTGGAACCATAAAAGAGAAGCAAGCTTCTAAACTCAAACCCATGGTTTATAATCCCTGAGCACAGCACATCTTAACACTGTGAGAAATTCTCTTGTCGACAAAGGCAGAACATTCATGGATAAGTGACTGAGGCTATTTTCTCCCCTTTTGTGATCTACATAGTGATTTTAATTATAATAACTCATTTAAATTGGAGATCTAGACAGCTGGATATTAGGCACTCAGCATTGGGAAAACCCAATAGAGACCAAAAAAATGAGAGGCAAAAAAAAAATGACAGCCAAGCACTTTTGTATAATTAATCCCTCCTGTGACAATGAAAACAGTTCGATAATTTCTGTGTCACTGATATGCTAGCTGAGGAAAAACAAAAGAATAAACATAGATACAACAGCCAAACACTATTAAAGTCAACTGATCTGACAAGCTTCTAACACCAAGGGTGGTTGACAACTGAGAAAAAATCTGAGTTATCTACAGAAAGCAGGCAAATTTCATTCTGCTTTTTCCCCCATGCATGGATGCAGATAACTCCATTTAAAAGGGAAACACTGGTAGAATCTGATTTTCATCTCCAGGGCAGGATCCCTGAAGGGAAAAAAACAAAACAAAACATTTTACTGCACAAGGCTGAGGGCCAGTGACAAATTCAATTCTCTAGAATGGTAATTCTGGAGTATTCTTTTTCCATTGGAGGAAAACTTTGACCCACTAGGAAGTACTATGCCAACTCCTGGTTATAGAACATTTCATACCTCCATAACATACTGAAAACAGATATTTCACTTAAAAGAAAACCATGGAAGTGAAAATAACTGTATTCAATTAGTTGAGCAACTCAAATAACACTTGGCAATAACCATAGCTGAATTGAAAAGTCTATTCAACTAATAAAAGAGAAAAAACATTGGCCTTTAACCTATTTTCAGGTTGTTCTTATCTGACATGTAAGGAATAATTATCACACTGGTGAGAAAAATGTGCCCTAAACACTTGAAAAATACATCAATTGCATCTCACTAAACAAATGTGTAACTCTTGGTGCTATGTTTTCCCTGTCAGTTAACTATGTCGTCTTTTGCTTTTTTTTTTTTTTTAAATTTTTTTTTTTCAACGTTTATTTATTTTTGGGACAGAGAGAGACAGAGCATGAACGGGCGAGGGGCAGAGAGAGAGGGAGACACAGAATCGGAAACAGGCTCCAGGCTCTGAGCCATCAGCCCAGAGCCCGACGCGGGGCTCGAACTCACGGAGCGCGAGATCGTGACCTGGCTGAAGTCGGACGCTTAACCGACTGCGCCACCCAGGCGCCCCTTAACCAATCAAATACGGGATCAACTATCACAGTGTAAGAAAGGGCAAAGATCAAATATCAACTCCGTCATTTGGCTTGAGTAGAATTAGTTCTTTATGATTGCTGAAGAAAGATGAATGATTAAAGAAGTGGGCAAATTTATTCAAACAACTGTTGCCCAGGTCATCACGTGAAATACCTTCTAGAACCATGTGGGCTCTTCTGCCTCCCCACATATATCAGGTATCTAAGTACCAAATGCTGAGGGTCACGTGAGAGAGTTCTCTGCAAAGTAGCGGATACTCAAAATGTCCACTCAGTTTCCAATCATGTTTCTAAAGAACGTTTTATGACTAATGAACAAAATCTGGCTATATCTTAAAACCAAAATACTTTAGAAGAAGAACTGATGAAGTAAATAGACTTTTTGGTATCTGTTATTGCAAAAAATAAGAACATTTAAAACTTTTGCTGTAACTTGTGCCTAAAGAGCTATTCTCAGTATTTCAATACATATTGTTGTGTATTTAAGCCATTCTTGAATAATTATCAACCTACAATATTTATTTTCAATGCCCAGAAAGATGGGATTCAGGCATGTTCCAATTTGGCAGAACTCTATTTGCCTTCAAAATGCCTATCCAGTGAAATCCCTTTTTGGATTTCAAATTGACACCCTAACAGGGTTTCCAAGATTGGCTAAATTGACGACCACGTGCTAGCAGTTTCACATTTATATTATGTTTGGATCAATGCCTATGATTTGATTGGAATAGGAGCAGCTGCACATAAAGTCTTTGGGGTGAGAGAGATTTGTCATGCTCCACTCTGATAACTAAATTTGGGGAGTGTGCATTTTGAAATGTTCATGGTACCACATTAAATTGCTATCAAATAGAAGCAATTACAAAGAATTAACATGAGCCCCAAATCAAAATTCTAAGGAAGAAAAGCATACAGCTTAAAAAAAATAAATTAGGAAGAAGGAATAACAAAATGTTTCCTGCATCAAGTTTACAGCTTAATGGCAAGAGGAAACACGGTTCCTTTGCAAGTGCGTTCACACTAATATCCATCTCCCAAACACCTCAGCCTAATTTCTTCCTCTCTGCTCCGTCAACATCCTTGTCCCCCACCCTTACTCTCCACACCCAGAATCACCCAGGGAATGCTAATTAGCAGCAATCCAAGGGTTTTACACAGTCCTATTCTAAACAATCTTTTCTGAAAAGCCTGAACGCAAACCTCTTGGTTTATGCTTTTAAAATTTTTTTTTTTCAACGTTTATTTATTTTTGGGACAGAGAGAGACAGAGAGAGAGGGAGACACAGAATTGGAAACAGGCTCCAGGCTCTGAGCCATCAGCCCAGACGCGGGGCTCGAACTCCCGGACCGCGAGATTGTGACCTGGCTGAAATCGGACGCTTAACCGACTGCGCCACCCAGGCGCCCCGGTTTACGCTTTTAATACCAAGGTCTGTAGAACTACAAATGATAAAGTGGGAAGGCAAACTTACCATAAAAAGTCAACTGTCCCCTTGCTACATTTTTCCCTCTTGAATTTTCAGCCACACATTCATATAAACCAGCATCCTCCTGCTGAAAATTGGGGATTTCAAGAATTCCACTGGATTTGTGTCTTCTGGCTTTCCTTGCTATAGGCTTTCCATCAGCTCTTCTCCAAATAATAGTTGGTACTGGACTGATAGAATAAAAAAGAGTGAATCAAATTAGAGAAAACCATATCTTTTATTTGAACCTATGCTTCCCATAACCCCTTCCTTCTTGGTTCTAAGCATATAAACTTGCCCTAAACAGTACTCCCCAAAGTTCATTCATTCATGTATCACTATTACGATTTTAGCCATATCCACATTTCTAGTGTGATTATATATTAAGTGTTTTTCTTAGAATCAAATAACCTTTCATAACCTTAAATAAGGTAATATATCTCCTATACAATAGTAACACTAAAAAACATTTTTATATGCTTGTTATATATCTTTTTAGTACAAATGCTTTTTTCCACATCATAAACAGGAAAATAAAAATGTCCACGCACAAATGTGTGAGATTAAAGATGCGTGCAAATTCTTTCACATTCCTCTCATACAAGGTACAGGCCCTCCTATGTCTTGAACCTGTGTTGTTTGACTACTTTGATTACTGAACTAAGACAGAAGTGATGTTGTACCGTTTCAAGGGTTAGGCAATAAGAAACTGGCAGTTTCTACTTTCTGTCTCCCGGGACATTCTCTCTAGAACCTTACCAACTGATAACAGCAGTTCACCAGACAGTGGTTTAGGGAAATTTTTACTTAAAATAGAAAGATAAGGAAAGCAGCCATCTGTGGGGTCTTTATGTACTCTCATGGCATCTATCATCCTACAACCATAACTGTTAGAGCACATCTTAAATTGCAAGGAGGGCATCATTGAGTCTGCAAATCAATGCTTTAGCAAGCTAACCACAGCTTTTAAGACTGCAGCTTCCTACCAGGGGATACAATTATTTACTTATTTATTTTTCACAAAACACACACACAGAGAAGTAATTAGGCTAAAGACTTGCTAATCTTCTCTGGAAAACCTGAGATGGTATTTAAAAAATTAAAGCCATCAATTCTACTATACTTGTTTTAGAACAATTTAAGTTCATTCAACAGACACCAACTCTAAATGCAGAAAGCGTTCTATCAAAAGTACATTACGGGTGCCTTTACATCTAATGAGATACACACTTAATACAGGCCTTTACAAATAACTATACTTAGACACAGTCTTCCTGCTCTTAAGTGGGCAATGATGATGTATTTTGGCAGTTGGATATGCATACCCAAATATCTTTGTGTAGACTGGAGGAACCCAATTTTGGTCTTTTGTTTTTATTCCAGTGCCATTCAGGCAGTATGAATAGAGTTTAATTCACACCCCCTTTGAAGTATGAACAACAAGAATTTTGCTCTCTCTTCAAAAAACATTTTTCAAGGTGTCACCTTGCATAGTGTACCAAATTTACATCTAGGCTGCCCAGTTAACCTGCTTTCACCTTTTCCCTGGATTGGGTTTCCCAATGTATATATTTAAAATAAAAAATGGGGCCATGCGATAAAAACGGGGCCAGGCTGCTTAGCAGTCTGGTTTCAGTCTCTTAGTAATAAATTACGGGCATTTTCTATTTCTCACATGTTGTTTTACAATTTGACTTTTAATGTCTGAACAGTGTTCAGTCCTACAGGTATGTCATAATTTATTTAAGGTGATAAGTTTTCAGGACATAAAAATTTACCAGTATATGTATGGTACCAAAGTAAAGATACTGGTGTAATTTATACTGCCCTGACTTAAAACCATGGAAACCAGAAGAATCTTTTTATTAGAGCTGAAAATATAGTGATAAAAAGGAATACCTTTCTTCTATGGTTGCTGTAAACACAAAAAATATACAGAAACAGATCACATGTTGATACAGGGGTTGGGCACAAGCAAGTGCTGTTGCCTTAGCCATGATCTAGGTGCAGGAAGAGGATAGGGAGTTAGCAATGGGTTAGCGGGAAATAGCGTTGGGTGTAGAGATCTACATCAATCAATAAATTCCATAGATGATCTAAAATTCTCATTTCAGATGACAGTGTGTACCATTTATGCCAACCCCCCCCCCCCTTTTTAGGGTTACTGGGAAAATCTTAACTGATCTCTTTTTCCATTTTCTTTGTGCCCTCTGAGAGATACTCTATGGAAACGTTAACTGGATCCCAACTAGGCTTATCTATAATTCCACAGACTTAATAATAAAGTTGGGAGTAATTTTCAGGCGAGTCTGTAAAATAGACTCTCTTAAAGAATATACGATCTTCCCTATCCTTAGCCAGAGAAGAAAATCCAAAGTAGAGAGAAGAGACTGGTAATTTAAAAAGAAATTCAAGAAAAGTTTGATGCATCCTCTGTAAACTAGGGCCAGACTGAAAGTCCATATTTTTCTAAATAGTCGGCTTGAGCGTACCTCAAATGAAGGCCATTGTTTTCCTGTCATTCTGGGTTAGACAGCATGCACATTATAGGTCACAATAATAGAAGAAAATACTTTTTCAGAATTGCCCATTCTCTTCTCCTTTGTGGCCATGTCAATTGTGGCAGCCTAATCCCCTTTGTGCCATTACATGTACTCTCTTCATGGTGAGAGGGCAGAATCAAAGATGCATACGTGGCATCACAAAAAGAAAGGCCTGACTTGCTTTTCAGTCACCTCAGAAGCCATCACCGCGAACAGTGCAAATAAACTTCTACACCCGCACAGGCTGAAGGGTGAAGAAGACAGAAGAGAAACCAGACTTACTTTCCTAAGGCAAAGCATTCCAGCTTGACTGTTGTTCCTTTGGCGGTCGGCACCATTTCTGGGAATTGCACTTCTATTTTTGGCTCATATTCACCCATCACCCCTGTGAATAAACAAAGGGACTAAGTCTTTGAGGCTCTTTTAAAACATACATTAGTGTTTTTGTTAATTTAGGATGCTCTCATACATCATTATGTGCACAATTAATTCCTTCATTTAAAGCAGGTTCTATCTCTAACCAGCCTTGAATTGTGGCTCTTCTCCCAGTTACTGCTAGGGGAAATTGTGTGTCACAGTGCCATACCATCTGCCTAGGATCAAATTATCTGTGCATACAACTTCACTTCTTGAAAAACCTTTTTTTAAAAGGGAGTCATGGACCATGTAAGGAGGGGAGAGATAAAGTCCCAGACACCAGAGAAATCAAATAAATGATCTTTTTGAAAACATACTGCAAAAAAAATTTAAGTACTTTACCAAAATACTTGCTGCTCTATTATGTCTATGTAAGAAAAAAATCTGAGTAGTCAGTTACTCAATTACGAATTACTTTATCATTCACTTCCAAAACCAATCTGAATTAATCATAAATTAGTACAGAGAAGGTAACATCAAATGCCAGTGACATTATATTCTGAACCAAGGTAAAAATGACAGGAGGAAGTAATACAGAAAACAATCTTTAAATCATACCCACCTTCCCAAAGGCATGCTGACTTTAAGGTCATATTCTCTCACTTTCCTATATTGTAGGAAATTGTACAATTGTGGTCACGGTAACATAACCTAACAAACGAAGTCCATACTTTATAACTAAAAACCAGTCAATTATTTCTTATCAATAAATTATCTTAAAAATTTTTTTTAAATGTTTATTTTGGAGAGAGAGAGAGATAGAGAGAGAGAGAGAGAGAGAGGGAGGGAGATGAGCAGGGGAGGGGCAGAGAGAGACAGAGACAGAACATGAGCGGGGGAGGGCAGAGAGAGGGAGACAGAATCTGAAGCAGGCTCCAGGGTCTGAGCCGTCAGCACAGAGCCCGACGCGGGGCTTGAACTCACCAGCCATGATATCATGACCTGAGTTCAAGTTGGACACTTAATCGACTGAGCCACCCAGGCACCCCTCTTACCAATACATTCTTGACCCCATCTCCCACTGATCAAATCCATTTATTTCTATTCAATGTCTTGTCCTTTCCGTGATCTCTGATTCAGCTGTGCCAATATAAAATTTGGAATTATCTAACATACTAAGAAATGATAGGATCCTTCATTTCACCTCTCCTTTAGGCTTTCCATAATTATAGGAAAAAAGACTGAGGGATTCAGAAGAAAAGGTGAAAGCAAGGAATGGACAGGGACAGGTACAATGACAGAGAGAAATGATTCTACTCATTTGGTTGAGGTGAGCGTTTTCATCTGCAGCTTCAATGTTTGGGAAGCATCAAGGGGATTTTGCTAATGTGCAAAAAAGAAAATCAATGCTGTGAGATAACCTAACTGTCTAGCTAGGTTTGCTGTGAAGTATGTGGTCCAAAGTGCAAAGTTGAACATAACTTTGATTTTTTTTCCTTTCATAGAATGACAGGGAAGGTTGGATTTGGAAGGGGCCTTTTAAATAATTTAGTTCAGCATTTTTAATCTTGGCATTCATGGATGAACACTTTCCTACAGAGAGGACCTGCAGCTAGCAATCTATTCTCAAAAGGACTATAACCCACTCCCCCCAATGCAATTAAAATCGGTTCTAATCTATCCCTCCCTTTTGTGAGCAAGGCTGTAATCTCAAAGGGGTTAAGCAGTTTGTCTTTAGTTTTACAACAAACTAGTTGGTGTTCCAGTTTGTAAATCTGGTCCCCAATTCCTCTTTTACTATGGCCTCTCACCACCGCAATGAAGAACACTGGAAAACTAGATTCAAGTACATTAAATCCATGTTGCCACATTCAGATACAAAACCACTCCTTCCTTTTTGGCCAGTTTGGGTTCCCTTCCACTTAAATTCCGGTTTGCCTTCCTTTAAGCATTTGCCACAAAGCTAGACCAGCAAAGAAGTGGCACTTGCTAATGACGGCATTCACCCACAGCTGCTGAACTTGCTAACCAACAGCCCATACAGTTGACTCATTGTCCCATAAATATCAGTAGTATGACTCTCAGCCCAGGAACGAGTTAACACCTTTTAGTGCTGTGTGTGTGTGTGTGTGTGTGTGTGTGTGTGTGCGTGGCTATGTACTCCAGGAGCAGTGTTAATTAAAAAAAGAATTGCTTTGGGAGAAAGAGGTCTTTTGTGCTCCCAGGAAATCATAACAGTCTGCACTGCAGTGTATCATGTGTGGGAGGGAGATGAAACAATAATGTTAAAATACAACAGGCAAGGCTATTTTAGCAGTGATCAGGTGGTCCCCCTGCCTTCTCTTTCTTTAAACATTACATACGCATTAGGTTTCTTTAACCCAGCTCTGAAAGATATACCAAGGAGAAAATATATCTCACACAATCTTGTCCTGAGAAAGTGAGATATCACTGCAATGTAGAGACAGTGTGCATGGTCCTGTGCCCTGTCATCAGGAGATGACATCCTAAACTCCTACTTATCAAGGCCCAGACTCAAAGTCCACTCCTCTAGGATCCTTTTTCCCTTCCTCTGTCTGGACCACTCTATACCTCACAGTGGCCTTTAAATGACCAGACAGCATTAACACCTCTGTGCCTCAGCTCTACTGTTTCCCCTGACTTCTTAAAACACACACACACACACACACACACACACACACACACACTGAGGTATAATTTACGTACAAATTCAAAGATTTTCAGTAAATTTACCAAGTTGCAAAGTCATGGCCATAATCCACTTTTTTCAGCATTTCCATCACCCCATGATCCTTCATGTCTATTTATAGTCAATCCTCAGAACCCATTCCAGCCCGAGGCAGCTTCTAATCTGCTTTCTCTCTTTGATAATTTTCCTTTTCTGGATGTTTCATATAAATGGAATTATACACCATGTGTTCTTTTGTATCTGGGCTCTTTCACTTGGCATAGTGTGATCAAGGTTCATCCATGTTGCAAAATTTATCAGTAGTTTGTTCATTTTTATTGCTGAATACTATTCAACTGTATGGTTATACCATATCTTATTTATGTCTGTCCTGGTCATATTAGCAACAACATGACACAAACGGAATGGCTTAAAGAAAAAGAAATGTATTCTCTCACAGTTCTGGAGGGTAGAAGTCATAAATGAAGTGATGACAGGGCTCTGCCCCCTCTGACATTCTGGGTAGAATTGTCCCTTGCCTCCTCCTAGCTTCTGGTGGTGGCCATAAATCTTTGGTGCTCCTGGGCTTACACCTGTATCACTTGAGTCTCTACTTCTGTCATCACACGGCATTCTCTCTATGTGTCTTCCCATTGTACTTTTATAAGGACACCAGTCATACTGGATTAATGACCAACTGCAGTCTGATATGACTTCACTTGAATTAACTGCACCTATAAAAACCATATTTCCAGATAAGGTCATATTTTGAGTACTAGGAGGGTTACATCTTCAACATATCTTTTTTGAGGGACACAATTCAACTCATAATACCAGTTAATGGGCATTTATTTAGGTCGCCTCCACTTTTAGTGATAATGAGTTATACTTCTAAGAACATTTGCTTGCAAGTCTTTGTGTGGAAATGTCTTTCATTTTTCATGCTTCCTATGATTTTTGGGCGGATAACTTTTCTCTTGCTTCATGTCTCAGCTCAAATGGAGCCCCTTCAGAGGAGTGCTTTCACTTAAACTCACCAAAAAACTACTGCCATATAAATAATGTCATTTTACACATAAAATTTTGGGCCCCTCTCAAACAGCATTACTGTTGTCGATCATCTTTATAGCTATTTATATATATATGTTATCTCTTTTTCTTTGTGTTTTCACTTTCTCGAAAAATGGAAAGACTTTCAAATTTTTTCTGTAATCCTCACAAATCCTAGTTCAGTACCAGGCATATGAAAAAAAAATTGTGGGGTGATTGGGTGGCTCAGTTGGTTGAGTGTCTAACTCTTGGCTCAGGTCATGATCTCATGGTTCGTAGGTTTGAGCCCCACATCAGCCTCTGTGCTGACAGTGTGGAACCTTCTTGGGATTCTCTCTCTCTCTCTCTCTCTCTCTGCCCCTCCCATGCCCATGGTCTCTTTCTCTCTTTCTGTTAATGTTAATATTATTATTTAATAACATTTAAAAAATCATAGTAAAAAAAATTGTGACGAGTAGAAATTTGTGGAAGGGAGGAAAAATGTAGGAATATGGGCCTTCTCCTATGACACATAATAGCCATTAAGTCAATCATGCACTTCCTTCCAGCCATGAAAGTCATTTCTAAAGTATCATCATCATGGCTTCTTGTATGAGTTCACTCACTTAGACCATGTTTTTCTCTAAAATGAACTCTAGGCTGTTTAGGTGGTCATGTGGATGATTTCTGGGTTGATACACACTGATCTTCATTTACAGCTATAGAAATTCAAGTAACAGAGTTTGTAATAGACAGATTGATCTGTGTTTATAGCAGTTGTTACAGGACATAAAGATATGGATCAGAGATGGGATGGCATAGTGTTCATGATGTTTAAAGAATTTTCATTATATATAAAGATTGTTCTAGTATTAAAGTCATAAAAAAATGAAGGAAGCAATTTTCTCCAACTATATTATGAACACTTGGGGTGGGGGAGACACCTGCGAACTGTTCTATGTAATTGAGTTACATCTGAAACAAGCCATATTTTTATTTGACTATTTATTTCATTTTAACTATTTTGGCCTTTATTTTGTACATTAAATTTAAAAAGCTGTTGCCATTTTAATTTTTTTATGAAACAAAAGGCTCCTTATAACTAGAATACATTTTTCAAGTCATTCCTTTGACCACCTGTACACTTTTGAACTTAATTGGTCTACAGCTGCTCTGGTGATTCACAGAATGATTAGGCAGAAAGAGAAAGGCCACTGATGGAATTGCTCCAGACCATTTTTCCATCTTCAAACTATTTAAAAGGTGGGAATATATGAAGGCCTAGCTGTGTCCACACACTAAGGTAAGTG